CTTAGCTCCTGGGACTGCCAGCTTTGACCGTGCCCAGCTCCCATCGCTGGCTCCACCCCTACTTCCTGCTATCACTGGCCAGGGCGGCAAAAACTCCTGATTCTCCAATCATGGCCCTGGGCCGCCTTTGCCCTGCCCCGCAGCTCTTAGCTCCTGCTTGGGTTTCCTGTCAGTGGCAGGGGGCTTCTTCCTGCTTTCCCTTTTGCCTCCCTGCATTGTGCCTACATATGCAAATTAACTGCCATTTTGTTGGCAGTTAACTGCCAATCTTAGTTGGCGATTCATTTGCATATAGCCCTGATTGGCCAATGAAAAGGGTAGCGTCGTACACCAATTACCATTTTCCTCTTTTATTAGTGCAGATGATTTTAAACAAAGACAAATTATGGTGGGAGGCATAAGAAGAAATTGCCTTTAGTAAAGGAAAAGAGATCAAGGAGTACAAATGTTTAAATTCAAGGGACTGTGAAGTTTTTGATGTTGGATCATCAAGAATGTAGTTGTGGTAAAGGAACAGTAGTTCCTTAACATGAAAAATACAATTTTGGTTGATATCTGAGAAAGTGAGAGTAGAAAGGAAAAAGGAAATGACATAGGATATGGGGATGTAGCTGCAGTGGCTTCCTTGACCCTTGGGTTATGTACACTTTTCCAAGTCCTATTCTTTTTTTCTTTTTTTAAATATATTTTATTGATTTTTTTTACAGAGACGGAGAGAGAGAGGAATAGAGAGTTAGAAACATTGATGAGAGAGAAACATCGATTCAGCTGCCTCTTGCACTCCCCCCACTGGGACGTGCCCGCAACCCAGGCACATGCCCTTGACCAGAATTGAACCTGGGACCCTTGAGTCTGCAGGCTGACGCTCTATCCGCTGAGCCAAACCAACTAGGACCCAAGTCCCATTCTTTCTGTATTTCTTGTGGCTTTGGGAAGCCAGGCTTGTAGACAGCATGAATCTTTAACAAAAATCAAATCTTTAAACTTTGTTAATGAGAACCATTAAACAGTTACTATCTCTACCATCTTCTTTCCTGCTTTTAGAATAAAAGACACTTGATCATTGGAAACGCAGGAAGGACAACATATTCTCAGAAGAACAGTTGTTAAATCGAATCAGTAAATTTATAATTTTAGCCCAGGCCTCTCTCCTGAACCTCAGATTTTTGTATTTGGCTGCCTGTTTGACATTTTCAGTTGAAATCTAATGAGCATTTTATGTTGAACATGTCTAAAAGGGAATTCCAGATTTCTGTTTTTCCCAATCCTATTTCCTAGAAACTTGGGCTACCTGTAGGCAGTTCTTTTTATATATTTATTTTGTCTTAGCACTTAATCACCTTCTAATGTACATTATGTTTATTCTTTTTTGTCAGTTTCCCCTGTTGAATGCAAGCTTTAGGAAGCAGGGTGTCTGTTCTCTTCACTGATGAGTCTCAAATGTATCAAACAATTTGGAACATAGTAGGCACTCAATATTTATTGAATGAATGAGTGAATGGTTAAAATTCTGGTTTTTTGCAATACTCATTGTATTGGCCTTATTGTTTTTTTCTCCTTTATATTAAATTTCACATATCATCCCAGACCTGGATTGGGAGTGGGGAATTGCTTAGTGAAGGAGTAAGGTGCTTTCTCTCTCTCTTCCCAGGATTGGAACAGGAGTGTGTTCTGTTGTACATGTATAACTCTACAAATGATTATGTTTATTGTTTGCCTTGCTATATAGGAGGTTGAATAATGTGACTCATGAGTCAGATTATTTCCCTTGACAAATAAATTTAGAGTTCTACCAACTTTCAGATTAGCTTTTGTAGCACATATTAAATTATTAATAAATTTAGATTTAATGAAACTTATTAATGTTTTAGTTTTATTAGTCTGTTTCCATCATATTTTGAATACAACTCTATTGTAGTAGTTAGTACATTGTATTGTAGTTTTTTGTTTACGTGTTTGTTTACCCAACTGAATTGTAAATCTCTTGATTATAGGGAACATACGCTTATTTTTGTCTCCCAACCACCTAAAAAAAGTAACTGAAAAATATTACATGATCAGTACTTGCTTGTTTAATGAATAAATCAGAGGCATGGAGCTGGACAGGCTAATAACTATTGATTATTTAATCCTCATAACCTACTCATATAGATGACATCCCTGTTTTACAGACAAAGAAACTGAGGCAGAGAGGTTAAAAAAGTCCAGATTATATACTACTAAGCAACAGTTTCAGCAAATTGGGGATTGTATAAATTTTTTACTAGTCTCTTGTGTTTGCTTTATAGTATTCAAAGAGATATTACATTTTTTTATCTTCCTTGATCCCAAATACCAGTTTTGGTAGAGCAGAAACCATTCTCATTTGATAGAAGAAGAAAGTATATGTCAGGGAGGTAAAGTGATTTGCTTAGTGTAGCACAATGGAAAAGTATTGGGGCTACTTCTAGAATCTAGCTCTTTTGACTACTAGTCTAATGCTCTGTCTACTACACTGCATTACCTAAATGTTTACTGAACAAAAATGGAAGGACACATAAAGAAACAGTCTTCATAGTTTATATCTTTTGACATTTTAGTAGATAGCCACTCATAATTGCAGGAAAAATAACATTATTGCAGAATGCATAGGATATTTGTGAGGAAGTGTAATTTTCCTTAACAAAAGAATAGTAGGGCATCGAGAGTGAAGAGGAATATGAATTAATAAACTGTTTTTTTTCCCTCATGCTTTATAAAATCACTCTGAATCAATAGCTGTATATGTAAAGCAAAGGAAAATTAAGATTTGACTCCTCTTCAAGGAGTTGTCGATTGGAAGAAAATTCTCTTTTTCCTAATTATGATTTTTATAGATTTGTAGTTTCTGTCTTCATCTCCATTTCATTCTTTTGCTCTGCATAATGTAATAGCTTAGAATATCTAACTTAAAGACACATTTATGAAATCTTTTATAAAGGCAACTAGATAATATGTTTTATTATGTGTATATGCACAGAAAAATTTTCTATCCACGAGTGAAACAGATCCATCTACTCTGGGAGTTTCTCTTCCTATTGGTGACAGATTATCTGCCAAGGTAGGTGGATGGTAGGTGGTGGGTAGCAGTTTTATGAGGGATGAAAATTATGAAAAAACATTCTGGATTTAAATGCAAACAGATTCCATCATTTTCTGTACTTGAATACATGTATTTTTCCGAGAGTCTGAAAAGTCTTTAGTTGTGCTGTTTAAAAATTTTTTTTGAACATTACATTTATAACTATGTAATGTGACATATTTCTTTAATATGTTGACCAATTGAATATTTATAATTTACATTTTCCACCATTGGTTCCTGAGCTGTAAAGTCTATGCTCTGAAACAGTGAAATGAATGGATGGCAGAATATACTGAGCTTTTATGTAGGGTGAGGGTGTGGGATGATTTAAATGTCAATTTCAGTCACGCCATAAATACATGTACATACTCTTTAGACTCGCAGCGGTTCTCAACCTGTGGGTCACGAACTATGAAAAGACATCCTGCATATCAGATATTTACATTACGATTCATAACAGTAGCAAAATTACAGTTATGAAGTAGCAGCGAAAATAATTTTACGGTTGGGGGTCACCACAACATGAGGAACTGTTTTAAAGGGTTGTGGCATTAGGAAGGTTGAGAACCACTGCTAGAAGTTTCAACAGAACATTTACGTTATAATATTTTGTTGTCTATGATAATTTAACTTTTCTATATTTAAAATGTGTAGCAGCAGACCTTTGGGAGGGGGTGGGAGTTGGAGCAGGAGATAGCCCTGGAAAGGAAAGAAGGAAAGTAATGTGGTTGGATCTCCTTGGGAACATGCTAATGACAGACTTCCTGGAAGACACATTGTGCATTTACTAGTGGAAAAGATTTATTTATGATAATTTTGACATAGTACACCTGTATTATCTAGGATTGCTGTTGATAAACCTAGAATCCATGGATTTATGGGGCATGGCTTAAGCATGTTGTAATGCGTAGGTATTTTAACATGATAAAAAAGGGGAGCTGCACTAATGGTCTGTAACCTCCTGCTTCTGTGCCTTGCAACTACTGTCCTTGAAATTAGTAAAACTTAATTTTTTATTGTCTAAAGTTTTACATATGTCTCCTTTTTCCCCAGTTGACCCCCATCCCCTCAGCCATTCCCACCTCGGGCAAGCCCCCAGTGTCACCTGGTTTGTTATGTCATCTTTTAAAAAAAGCCAGATCAAACCAAAACATTTGCAAATGGTTTTATCTCATAAAACTGACTTAACCTGCTTTTAGGTGAATAACTTAACCTACTTTTTAATTTCATTAATTTTAGAGATTTGGTTGTATGTGATTTTTGTGTATTTATTTTTAAAATATGTTTTCGTTGATTTTTTTTGAGAGATAGAGAAAGGAATGTAGAAGGAGAGAGAGAAACATCAATGTGAGAGAGAAACATTGATCAGCTTCCTCTTGCATGCCCCATATTCTGGGGAACGAGCTCATAATCTGGGCATGTGCCCTGACCGGGAATCAAACCGGTGACCTTTTGGTGCATGGGACACATTTTTTCCCCCCCAAATTTAAGGGTGGTTGATGTAACGAGAGCCAAAAAATTTACTACCTGTATTCTTTGTGTTAAGAAAGAATTTAATTCAAAATATTTTGAAGCAATATTTAGCTGCCAAAGTATGCTTAATATCTTCTGGGATAGGAATTTGCATTTTGTTTATCTTTTCTTTTTATATACACTTTATCCATATTACTGTTATCTGTATATTTGGCATTTATTAAGTATTATTAAATGATATATTTTCTGAAGTTTTTTTCCTAAAGATAAGGTATCTCCTGTGGGTGATTAATCCTCAGAGTTGAAATGATTAGTAGACTAAGCATCATTTGAGAGTTTAATTACCTTATAAGGAACAGCATCTCATTAAAAGCTTTTCTTTTCTTTTTCTTTTTTTAAATTGACCAGCATAAAAGTCAAAGAAATAAAAAACCTATTGGTCAAGTTAAACCTGATTTACTTTCACAAATAAAAACATCTTGCCAAAATTCAGAGAGTCCCAGGAGAGATGTCTTAACTCCTTCAGAGGCATATGAAGAACTTCTAAACCAAAGACGACTAGAGGAGGACAGATATCGACAACTAGATGATGAAATTGAATTAAGGAATAGAAGAATCAATAAAAAAACGAATGAAGAAGTGGACATTTCCAATAAAAAACATCAGAGGTTTGCCAGCAAGGTTGACATTCCAGATAGAAGATTTAGCAGGTTTAATGAAGATCGTGCCTTGGACAAACAGTATTATATACCAGACAAAGATCCTGAAGTAAGTGAAGAAATGGACGAGAGGTTTAGATATGAAAGTGATTTTGATAGAAGACCTTTGAGAGTGTATACAAATGACAGGTATTTACAACTTCATTTTTATTTTCTTTACTTGCTCATTATTGATGTTACTTTTAATCACCATATTAGGTAGAATCAGTTTCATTTGATTTACATATTTAATTCTAAGGTGCTGTCAGCTTTAAGTTACACCATTATTTTATGTGCCACTGAGGTAACAAAGAAAACACCTAAGATGGGGAGAAAAGGATCCTGTCATAAAGCTGGAACACTGAAAAGTTACAACCTTTATGTAAAATTAAATGGGAAATAAACTCTCCCACAGAAATGGACAGAAAAACTTCCATACCTCAAACTTGGCACTGAGTAGAGGGAGTAAAAAGCAACTTTCTTGAGAATTGAATGGTCAGCCAGTACTGACTTAGGTTTGCAGTCTGAATTCACGCTGCCTGTATTGTCCAAAAAAAAACCTGGAGGAGAGATTCAGAGTTGTCTCAAGTTCACAGTGCCCCTAGGTGACTGGCAGGACATTAACTCCTTTCTGCAAGAACTTGATATAAAACTAGGTTGATGGCTAATTTCAAATATTAGAATGTGGGACAAAAAGAACACCTTAACATAGATGAAATGTAGCTTTTATTCCTTCAATGTTCCTATGTTCTAAATCCTTTTATCAGTATATTTCTTTGTTTTTAAGTTACTTATTGAACATTTATTTAAGTGAAATGGCAGTAATTTTTTAAAATCAGATTTTCACGTGCTTTTCAGTTTCTTTGGATGATTGTTTTTGTAATGCTATTTGTAATTTCTTATTTTTTAGTCATTTGTCTTAATACTTAAAACTTGCTATACTTCAACCTAACTTTTAAATTAGACATAGAAATATGGCAGGGCCCCATATTTGTCATTGAGTTGTTAACGTGAAAGGGTTAAATCTAAATTTGGAGCATTTAAGGGGACCTGTTTAATTTATTTGTCCAAATAGATTACTCAGCGGTTCTCAACCTGTGGGTCGCAACCCCTTTGACCATCGGAAAACACATATATAATTACATATTGTTTTTGTGATTAATCACTATGCTTTAATTATGTTCAATTTGTAACAATGAAAATACATCCTGCATATCAGATATTTACATTACGATTCATAACAGTAGCAAAATTACAGTTAGGAAGTAGCACCGAAAATAATGTTATGGTTGGGGGTCACCACAACATGAGGAACTGTATTAAAGGGTCGCGGCATTAGGAAGGTTTGGGAACCACTGAGATTTCTTTTTTTAGTATCTTAGGAAATTTTCTGAGACATAATGCTGAACATTCAGTATTCTAATTAATAATACAAAGCCTTTACAGTGTTGGGTCTTCTCTTTATTCTGTAGCTATTATGTTTTGCTCATTCAACCAAAATTTTTTAATATTCCCCTCAATTTAAGTAATTTGAATGAAGGACTAGAATGTTGTAATGCCAACTCTAGTGATCTCTGATTTGAATCCAATTGTTTGTACTTTAGAAAATGCTCCAAATCCTGTAATTGTTATATTTATATTTGAAAATGTTTATATCAGAAGGTATTCAAAGGCAGCCTAATCTAAAATAATTATCAACTGGGGAACTGCAGGTAATCTTGGACTCGTGGTGCTGCCATCTTTGTACATGAGAACTTTTTTCCTTATCGTTTTTGTTTACCTTTGGAATGTAATGTAATGCATACCTTTTAAGTTTGGGATTTCAAGAAACTTACTATAAGGTTGTTGCTTTGTTTTTTATATATTTTAATCTATTCTATTTGTAATTATACCCTGTATGGTATTATACATGAGCTAACAAATGAATTTCAGACTAATTATTTGAGCACTATCTTTTTTTCTTATGTATCCCATAAATGAACTTTTCCTGTATTATCTTTTTCAAGTAGTATTTTCGAATTAGTTTAAATGAGAATGAGTGAGAATAATTCCTATTACACATTTCAAAGTTTCTAAAAGTATTTCTTCAAAATGTAATTATTATATGTTACTTCTGGTTTGTTAATGCATATATTTCTAGTGTAAGGTTTGTCACATATGTTAGCATGGCAATTGAGGTTTAAATTGAATTTCTGTATTTCAGATTTGTGGATTTCTTATTTCCAGCAAAAAAAAATGTATCACGTTGATCATTCAGTAGGTTTTATTTAACAGGCAAAGTGGTAGACAGGAAAATGACTTTGTTAGTGAAATTTTTGAAACTAAATGAATGTGTAACTGCATTTGGTCTCTTCTTGTTCTAACCATTTATTCTTTATATAAAAGCCTAAGTGACTGGATAACCGAACGACCAGTCGACTGGTCGCTATGATGTGCACTGACCACCAGGGGGCAGATGCTCAACTCAGGAGCTGCCCCCTGGTGGTCAGTGTGCTCCCACAGCCAACCTTCTGCAACTGACCAACCTCCCACGGTCCCTCCTCCTGGCTGGCTGCCCACCCCCCCAATTGGCCCTGATGTTCGGGGCTAGCCGGCCAACCTCCTGCACTTTCTCCCTATGGCCGGCCAGCCAACCTCCCGCAGTCCCTCCCAATGGCCAGCCGGCCAACCTCCTGCAGTCCCTCCTCCCGGCCAGCTAGCCCTCTGGTCAGGCTGATTGGCCCCGATCTCTGGCCAGGCCGAGGGACCCCCACTCATGCATGAATTTGTGCACCAGGCCTCTACTATAATCTTAACCAGAAGTTCTTGACAAAAAAAAATTGTAACTGATTGTGAGAAATACAAAATTAATTTTCCTTTGTTCTAAGTTTCCCTTCTCTTTTTTCTTCCAAAAGACAGCATGTGATAAACTCTAGTTAAGATTTTTAATACTTTTTAATTTATATTTTTGGTCTTTTCTTTAAAAAAATGCTGTCTTCTTTTCTTTAAAAAAAGGTTTTTATTGGTTTTTAGTGTAATAGGAAGGGAGAAAGAGATAGGGACATTGATGAGAGAGCAACTTCAATTGGCTTCCTCCTGCACAGCCCCCACTGGGGATTGAGCCCACAATCAGGGCACGTTCCTTGAATGGGAATAGAACTGGTGACCTCTTGGTGCATAGGTCAACGCTCAACCACTGACCCACACTGGCTGGGTGGTCTTAGTTCTCTTCTAATTTCCCTATAAACTTTTCATATACTACATGTATTTATTAATGATCTATTTCCCCATGTTAAATATGGGAAAGAAAACTAGAGTCCAGAAATGATTTTAAAAACTTTCCTAAACTAATAATTACTGGCAGTGTTTAATAGTTAACAAGGTGGTTAACTCTGCTTGACAGTTGAATTCTGTGTGTGTGTATTATTTATTCATACATATTTACCAATTTAATTAAAATTTGTTTTTAGAGCTTTCTGAATTTGAATGTAGTAGTGTCTTACAATACTTAGAAATTTATAGGTACTTTTAAAATATAGTCATCCTAGTCTTCTTATTTATTAACTTGAGTTATAGAAGTTAATATATTGCCATCTTATGTTTTACTCTATAACCAGAGTTAATGAGTAAAGGACATTTTTAGCATTAAAAATGCTGCTGGGTTGTTGTGTTTTTAGTTTTTATATGATCAATGTAGTTTGCATTTCAGTTTAACTCTTAATATTTGATAGTTTGTAATTTTAAGTCATTTAATAAAATTCTGAGGTAATATTCCATCTGAAATTAGAATCTGTGTGATAACCACATATGTTTTTAGTGTAGGACATCCTAAGAAGTGTGCATGCTTAATACGAAGACATAAATGAGGAGGAATGGCTTATTAGAATATGAGTTACTTAATTTGGTATTACTTTTTTTCTTATAGTAATTTATTTTCATTTATCTTTGGAAGGAACATTTTAATTATTTTCCCCACTTTAAAGATGGGATTGATATTTGAAAAACACTGTTATGGAATTAAAGTAAATGTAAAAACTGGGAAACAACTGAAAATGAGAAAAATATAGTTATAGCTTCATATATATTTTTTTAACTTTTGTGCACCCTTAGTAGTAAAATTCATTCACATTAGAGAAATTCTTGATATGAAACAGGTGATATAACCATTATTATGAATTAGGTGATTTCTTTTAAGTACGGAGACATTCGATTCTTCCTCCCTATCAACTGTATTAACGTAGGACCAACAGATGGTAAATATTTTATTTCTATGATGTGTTATTCTCCAGAGCAAAAAACATTGTAAATTTATTTCTGCAGTAGTTTAAGTTATTCATTATCATTTAGGAGTTGTTCATTTACATGTAAGTTAGCTGAAAATACCTGGGTTTCAAACAATTCGCTTTTCTTTTGTAAGAGACTAATTTTTAAAAATAAGATCAACGTGTTAATTTTTGGACTAATCTTGGCCTCTGAAAGATTCAAGTACTTATAGTACCTGGTTTCTTTGGGCATTGAGATTTGAACCTAATTAAAGGAAATAGAGAACACAACTTTTTCCATTTAACATAACCTTTAACTTTTTGTGTCTTTTTTTTGATAGTAGGATGGTGAAACTATTTTACATTTATTCCCTCACGCAAATCTGATTTTCTGTGTCAAAGTAAGCAAACTTTTTTCTTTTGTGAGGTCTGTCCCTTGCTGACAAAACTGAATGGGTTGAGGTGTGATAAATGAACTTGTCGATTTAAAATCATAGGCTAGTTAGGTAGTTCTGGGTCACAAGGATCATTTTATCCTGGTACTGGCTCTAAAGCCATAGCTAAACTGAAAGGAATTCTCAGGGACAAACTGGACCTAAACTGAACTCTTGTATTCTGACTGGAATCAGGCTATTCTTAGCTATTGAGTTCATTGCTTCAGGAGATCACCATGTGTCATTCATTCTCAGTGTTGAAAGGATTAAAGAGAGAAAGCAGTGGTCAAACTTCTTTCTCTGCAGAGAGGACTTCATATGCTTCTGTAAAAGTTTCTAAAATAAATTGTAAGACCACCATAAAAGCTGTTAAAGTGAGCTAACAGGGATAATTAAGAGTGATTAAATGTTAAGTTTATTAAAAAAATAAAAGAAACTTTAATAAATGAAGGAAATTTCATTACAATTATACAGATACTAGAGGCCTGGTTGCACAACATTTGTGCACTGGGGGTGAGAGTGGGGGTGGGGTAGGTGGGTCCCTCAGCCCGGCCTGCCTAAGCTGCAGTCAGACATCCTTAGTCAGCCTGGCTTGTGGCTGAGTGGCGCTCCCCCTGTGGGAGCGCAGTGACCACCAGGGGGCAGCTCCTGTTTTAAGCGTCTGCCCTCTGGTGGTCAGTGTCCATCATAGCAACTGGTTGTTACACTGGTCGATTTGCATATTACCCTTTTATAATATAGGATTTTAATAGATAGTAAGGTGACTAACTTTTCAAACTATAATTTGCCTTCACAGCTTGTTAGGTTCCTTTCTAGTTTTCTTATTTTATGTCTCATATTAATAACTTATAATTTATGCCTATCATTTTATAAAATTGAATAGGATACCTTAAGATTTTATTTTGTCCTTTTTAGTGAAATATATATCTCTGCTCATTTTTGGATTCTTAAATATTTCTCCAGTTTTGACTTTATTATAACTATCAGAGACAGGGGGACTTTTATAATTTCATTAACAAATGTTTTTCTTTAGTGAAGGAGCCCACCTTCAACTATCTTTTATATGCCCTGTCCATTAGGAAATCTTTGTCATTTTACTGTAGAATTTAGCAGAGATCTTGACCTTACACATAAATAAAATCATTTAACTTTCTGTAATTTATAATGTTTGCTTTGTTAAGGTGTCTATATATACCAAAGAACTTATTGAACATGTTTTGTGTAGGTGCTTTAGATATTGTACTTGGGTATAGCTTATAAAAATAAGCTGGACACGCAAGTTCAAACTTAGCTGAAAGTGCAGGAAACCACAACTCTTTGATGGATTTTAGAAAGAATTTTTGTATGTATAAGTAGCCTTCAGTTCTGGTTAATCTTGATTTAATCCCAAGTGATGTTTTTAAAAATTCGTAACTTTAAATTTTTCTATATCTGAAAACGTGCTCTAGGCACCTCTATACCACATCAACAAGTTTACTTTGTCTGTTGTATTGAGGGTTTTCAAGACCACCCCCAGGTTCAGGGATTCCTAAGGAGGACTCACAGGACTTCGTGTATACAGTTATATTCCTGACTATGAGTTGTTATAGTTGAAAGGATATAAAATAAAATCAGGAAAGGAAAAAAAGGTGCATGGGACAAAGTCCAGAGGCAACCAGGCCAAGCTTCCAAGAGCTTTCTCCCAGTGGAGTCGCACACGACATGTTTAATTCTTCCAGCATCCATTTGTGACAACATGGGTGAAATGTTGTCTACCATGAAAGCTCATTATAGACTCAGTCCCAGTGTTTTTGCTGGGGGCTGGTTACATAGGCATCCTTTTCCTATTTGTACCAAAATCCCAGACTTTCTGGAGGAAAGCAGATGTAATATAAACTATATTGTTTGTACAAACAGTTTAGGCCAGGGGTGGGGAACTTTTGGCCCATGGGCCATATAAGGCCCGAGAAATCAGTTGGTCTGGCCCAGCCAAGGCATTAGGGTGAGTTAATTAAATGTTTGACTAAATGTAGCAGGCTAATTTTTAAGTTGATAATTTTGTTTGGCCCTCGAATGATGTTAAAAATATCCAAATGGTCCTTGGCAGAAAAAAGGTTCCCCACCGCTGGTATAGGCACAGTGAGCCATTCTTTTCAGTTCTAGGAATGATGGGACCCCTCCCTAAATCTATGTTCCAGGTGCCAGCCCAGGGCCAGCCTTGCTGCTAGACCTTTCTAAGGATAGGCAGCTCAGGCCTCTCTGTTAACCCCTTTTCTGCACATGTGTGTTATATAGATCCAGTATAACTAAATCTGGTTGCTTGGCGTTGTTTTAATTGCAAATTTGAATTTGAGTTTATACTTACCTGTTCTTTAAGCAGTAGAAGTACAGAATAACACTAAACTTATGTGTCATTTTAAAAGATTCAAGTACCTAGACTTTAGATATAAGACCAGCCGTGTTTGATGAATTGAAATAAATTTGAAATTCTTTTTTGAAAGGGCCTGCGGAGGGTTCTGTTGCTTTAGGTATGGATAAAAAATGGGAGACATTTATGTCATGCCAGGTCATACATTAGTAAGGTTATAATCCTGTAGAGTCTTTTCCCCACAGATGATATTGACAATGGCTCACGTGATGGAAACAAATGAAGAATTTTATGTGCTGGCTCTGTGGAGAATGAGAAGTTCCTTTTCTTCTGAAAATTGCCATTTTTCTTAATGTGATAATGAAATTCACCTAAAATATTGAACAATACTTTAACAGCCATATATGTTTTTTTTAGTCGTCCTCTTGAGAGACAATGTAGTTTAACTGCCATGTAAAGAACTGTGACTTAGGAAATGGTGATTTTCATGGATGCCTATAAATGTTGATGTAAATAATCATGTTTTTCTGGTATGAGAAATTAAACTAAAGAAATCAATGTTTGCCAAATGGAAAAAAACATAAATTGAAAAGCATTAAAAATTATTTTTTAATCTTTATTTTATTGTTATGACCTAGTAAGTAAACTAATCATTTTTTATCCATGCATCAGTCCGTTTATGATGTTTTCTATGCACCTATTGTTAATATTTATTCTTTCATGTGATTTACACTGTTAACAAATGTTGTGGCTTGTTACATTTGATTTGATTAAATGGTAAATCTACGGCTCTGCTTTTAAGTTATAAAGTTTTGTATATGCAGCGAAATAATTCCCAGAATCTATGAATTTTGATTAAGAAAATGATCTCATTTTGAAATTTGACTATGATCTTCCTGAGGGCAAGGACCATGTCCATATACCCTGTGCCTAGAATTGAACTTGGCATTTAGTAGATGCTCAATAAATACTATTTGAATAGAGGAGTGAGAAAAAGTATAGTATATGCATAGTTTTCAAGTTAAACATTTCTAGATGTTATAATGAAATAATTTATAATGACCTTCTTTTGTTTTAAAGACGATAAAATCCAAACTCTTAGTGTCTCTTACGAACCAGCTGATCATATTTGAATCAAATCTATTCACATTAATTTTAAAACATGTTTACAGTAAAATTTCACCATAACACTTTGTTCCCTTTAATATTTCCAACGTCAAATGCACAAACACCAAGACATAGGTCCACTGTATGTGGGACAAGCTCTATAAGCTAATGTGTTTTTAAGGATATATGGGAACAGACGAGGAAATGTGCCTCCTGTGGAGTATGGTGGCGATGTCACAGGACAGTCAAACATACGAATTTCATCTGCTGGAAATAAAAGGTATAGTATGTAATGTAAATTCTGCCTTTCAGTCATTACCTACACCATGAAACAGCACCTGCTAAAATCGGCTTATTGAAAAGTGGAAAGATAGTATTTTAACAGCCTTCCTTATTAGGAAGGAATTGGAAGAAAAGGTTTGGAAGGGGAGAGTTGTGTTAAATGAAAAATTGAGTACTTTACAGCATTCTTTTGAAGGGCAAGTTTTGATGATAGAGTGTGCCAAGGTGTTCTTAATAAGTCCCTGTCACTTTAAAGTGTATATATTTTAAGTAAAGAAAGGAGAAATAAACATACACTACAAGGACTAAAAATCAATTTAAAATATCTTGGAGTTAAATGGGTGGTATAACTTAACTGGAAATAAATTGAAAATATTCCACAATGAGTTTTCCTTTCAAAACTTTGTTATTTATTTTCAGCTTATTGAGTAGATGATTTTATGCTTACATTGTAAAATGGGTGTTCATATATAATTCTGTCATGTTTGAAAAGAAAGGAAATGATATGCATTTTATATTCATGTTCTCTTTCTATTTATAGTTTATCATTTTGTTGGCTTTCTTGTATCATAAATAAGGATAAGTGCTTCTGAATCTTTAGTGTATAACGAAGATAATATTGTCATGTATCAAGAACAGTGTCTATTTTCTTTAAAACAAAGTAATTCATAAAAGTGCTAGGGATAGTCTGGCTGGTGTGGCTCAGTGGTTGAGTGTTGACCTGTGAACCAGCAAGTCACAGTTCCCTCAATTCCCTGTAGGGAGCATGCAGGAGGCAGCCAATCAGTGGTATTTTCTTATCATTGTTGTTTCTCTCTTCCCCTTCCTCTCTGAAATTAATTTAAAAAATATATTTTAAAAAGTGCTTAACAGAAGAGATTTTGTTGTTTGGGTCTAGTTAATGAAGGTTCTGTGAGGGAATTAACTTTCTAGGAAGGAGACATTTAGGGAAGATCATTTCCAAGTATGTGTATAGGTATCACCATTTTCCTTTTAAAAAAAGATTTATGTCTACTTATATTCATTTTCTTCACTGGGGTAACTTCTTATATTTTTTAAAAAAGGTTTTATTAGGAATCTATAGAGCCAGTGAAGAAGGCTGAAGAAAAAGGAGCCCAAATACATTGGGGTCCCACTATATAAAGATATAAATGCCGCCGAACCGGTTTGGCTCAGTGGATAGAGCGTCGGCCTGCGAACTCAAGGGTCCCAGGTTCGATTCCGGTCAAGGGCATGTACCTTGGTTGCGGGCACATCCCCACTGCGGGGCGTGAAGAAGGCAGCCGATCGATGTTTCTCTCTCATCGATGCTTCTGACTCTCCCTCTCCCTTCTTCTCTGTAAACAATCAATAAAATATATTTAAAAAAAAAAAAAAAGATATAAATGCCATGATTTTATCCTAACTTTAAAAATATGTAACTATCACAGCATCTGTAGTATTTTAAAGGCCAATAACACACAACTACTTTTTACTCTAATTTTTGTTTCCTGAAAATTACTTAGGTTTTAATTCTTTTTGTTTTTGTTTTAGTGCTCGAGACAATGAAGCATCCAAATCTACCCGAGAAATCTGTAGTCCTTTTGCGGGGATGCTCTTTGGTATGTGCAACTTCAGTTGATTAGATTTGTAGAGTGTTTCATAAAAGCTCTTTTTATTTTTTTTGATAGACACCCTTCCCCATGTTCTTTCCATGTAATTTCTGGGAAGGTGCTTTGTTCTAGTCATGATCATAATCCACACTTTCTCTTTATAAACATGAAGGACATAGCTTGACATAAGTATGTTGATTTGCTATGTTAACTTGTCACAATAAAAAGAGCCTTATTTCCTGCGTGCAACTTTATTTTTTTGTTTTTTTAATCCTCACCCAAGGATATTTTTTCCATTGATTTTAGAGCAAGTGGAAGAGAGGAAAGGAAAGAGGGAGGGAGGGAGGGGGAGATAGAGAGAGAGAAAGAGAGAGAGAATGAATGAGAGAATGAGAGACGGGGAGAGAGAAACATTGATGTTAGAGGCACATCAGTTGGTTGTGATTGAGCCTGCCCAGGGCCAGGGATTGAAACTGCAACCCAGGTATGTGCTTTGACTGAAAATCGAACCTGCAGCCCTTTGGGCCATGGGCCAAAGCTCCAACCACTGAACAAATTGACCAGGTCTCCTGTGTGTAAGTTTATTTTTTATTTTATTTTAAAATTTTTTTTAAAATATTTTTTGAATTGATTTCGAAGAGGAAGGGAGAGGAGAGAGAGATAGAAACATCTATGATGATAGAGAATCATTGATTGGCTGCCTCCTGGACGCACCCTACTGGGGATCGAGCCTGCAACCCGGGCATGTACCCTCCTGGTTCATAGGTCAATGCTAAACCCTGAGCCACACAACTGGGCTCCTGTGTGTAACTTTAACTAGAAATGAACTCTGTTCTTTGGAAAAATTACTTGAAATTTGGTTTCAGTATATGAAAAAATAGGATCAACAGTTTAGGTTCATCTGAGAACCATCAGTAATTTAAAACTTGGTTTAGAGATAATGTAATTGCATATATTTCTTTGAAATGAGAAAAATTGCATAGCACCTGAAGTTTTATTCTACTATAATGTTTTATTCTACTGTAATGTTATTAAGTGAAATTGACCAGTTTTACTATATAGGTAGATAAGAAGGCTTTATTCTTATGATGTATGTTGTAACATGATAAAAATTGGAAAAATGACTTTCTTTGATGGCCCACTGACAAATAATGGAATCATTATTTGGAAATTTTAAGGATGAATGGCATGAACTTTTCTTTAATGCAATCTAAGAATCATGGATTAATATTCAGTGAGATAATAGACTCTAATGTTTGCAACAAACCATTCAAGTCATTTAATCCAATGATTTATCTCATGGCTTCATATATACACTGAGTGGCCAGATTATTATGACCACCTAACGTTTGTAGGCAAATTAGCTGTAATTTCGTGCTGAAGTTGCTAGAGGGCCAGACCATTATAAATAGGGAAGCAGGTTGTTTACCACAACAGTAGAAGTGATTTTTTCCTGAAGATATGGGTAAACAACGCGATTTAACAACTTTTGAACGTGGAGTGGCCAGATTATTATGGCCACCTGACATTTGTAGGCAAATTAGCAGTACACTACATCGTACGGGATATGAAAGCCAAAGGACTGTTCAAACACCTTTACTGTC